GGGGGGGGGGGTGGTTTCTACTCTGTGCTAGCAATCAATAGCAATCTTTTTAAGTTCACACAGAACACTTATTTTTATTTTATAACACTTTATCCAAACAACTTTGGATAGGCTTTTAAAATTATTTGTTATTGTTTACTCCTGAGAATGTGAGCATAGCAAATTGCATATATGTACTTGCTGAATTCTTTGAAAATATATCCATATATGAATGGGTTGAATCAATGTCAGCAAGATTTACATTCATGCAATCTAATTTTACGTATTTTACAATGAAAAAGGGATAGTTTCTGCTTTTCCTTTCTCTTTTTGTTTTTTGTTTGTTTTTTTTGGTTCTATTTTATAAAATAAAGTAAAATTATCAATAATAGTAAAGTTATACATCCCATTTGGTTGTGATGAAAAATCTAAAGCATAGTATGAGGATTGTAATATATTGTTTGTTTATACACACAAAATTTTTTGTTTTGCGCTGAATTCTACTGAATTCTACACTACTGATAGAAATGGGCATCAGCAGGGTAGGCAGTGGGAGTGGGGGAGGGAGGATGAAATTTGGACACCTGAGAATAACAGGCACCATATAATTCTACTTGGGATGACTGAATGATTCAGTCCCCAAATCTGGCGCTGGACTTCAAAGGATCCACTGAGTATAGCTCTGAGAATCTACACTACTTAAAGACTTCTGATGCAAGGGTGATCCAATTGATTATCCAACCTTTCCAAATACGGAAGTCTTTTGTTTCTGAAAGGCACAATCCCTTAGTCTGGAAAGCCCCTCTCTCACCTACAAGCAGGCATGTTTGTCAAATTTGATTCAATTCCTTCTCATTTTTCAGCCTAGCATCATTCCATTCTATTAATACATCAGTTTGCAACTAAAAAGAAAAGAAAACCCTCTGCAAGAGGATGTATGTGTTTCAATTTCTCCTAATATGCATTCTTGTACAATGCAATATACTGTAATACACACATATTCTCATATATGCACCCTCTGCAATCCATTTTTTGCTAAACCAATGTATTTTGTGTACATTTTCATTCAAACTTTTCCATTATGTTTTACTCACATTTGGAATAACAATCTGCATCACAAAATTTGGGAAAGTGCAGATTTTAGTGTGTGGCGAGGGGGGGGGGAGTTTGGCAACTCAAAGAAACAGTTACAGGCAATCCTAGTGAAATTATGTCATGAAGAGTTGAAAGCAAGCAACTGAACAAGTTTAGTATGTGTGTGTATGTGTCTGTGTGCATGCTTATTAGTTATCCTTTCTGATTTTCTCACATTTTTCAGATAACAGGAAATGATCCCCTCCCATCCCCATATCTCATTCTTTTCCTAATTCAGAAGTTTAATATTCATATATCAATATGAACTTTAGTCTGGTGTAGGCAAATTATATCAAAGAACATACCTTTCTTCTTTCATGATAATCAATAAGCCTTTTCAGAAATATTTTCAAGAAAAAATACCTCTTCCCCACAGAAAAAAGTGAGGAAGAGTTTGTATTTTAATGTCCATTTTATGGAAAGCTTAACAAAGAGTGAAACCACTGGATTGTGAATATCGAAAGCGGTTGTAAAAAGCTCTTACACTGGCATCTGATAGATGTAATGGATACAGTGATTGGGAAACCAAGAATGCCAATGCTTTCAAAACAAATTCCCACCTGTTTCAGATTCAGAGATCCATGTTTTGAGAAGATGAAGCAATTCATGATTCTGCTCACCTCCTCAGATCTTTGTGAGGCGCATCTCTGTGTCTGATCCATAACTGAAGTTCATTCAGCATGCTGCCAGGCCTATAACATCACTGTTGTTCTTTCAGGTGAATCTGAAAAAAGATCGACTGTTTTAATGAACACTGGAGAGGTGCAGTGCTCATTCTTGTGCTTATAAGAGGTTCAAAACACTTCCATATCTTTTCTGAAACACACATGGCTCTACTGGCCACAACTCTTTCCTAACAGAAAGCCGTTGAAAGGACCCTGACTGATATCAGGACCAAGGCTTGAGGGAAATTCTATTATGCAATCCCCACCATGCCATCTTCCCACCTTACAAAAATGTCACTTGCTACTACATGTACATGGGTAGCAATCAGTACCTTTTAAATCATTCTATATATTCAATATTGAAATTGCAGTTTGGAAAAAGAAATTGGTAGATTCCTGATGTTTTTTTGAATTATCACTTGTACATTACTGTTTTGTAACTGTATTTTCTTATTTTATCAATCTAGTGTTTGTATTATTTTGTTTTCTAATGAAATTGTTAACTAGAGATTTAACCTGATAGCTGACAACTGATTAGAGAATTTAAAGTTATTTCTGACCCATATTTTAATACATTTGTAGACCACCAAACTTCCAAACTAGATTCCTTTTTTAAGATATAGAAGGATTTAAAAAAAAATTGTTTAGTAAATGAAGGCTACCACTTATTGCCAGAACAAAATACCATCTGTAATATTTAAGTTTTCATTCATTTTATTCATTTCTTGCAAGTCTTGCAATTCTATTGGAGCATAGTTTGACCATCAATTGAGTAGAAATGTAATCTGCTACTTAAATAGTAAAAATATAAAAATAAGCAAATTCTGCCAGTAAAGTGCCAATGACAATCCTATGTTTTTTAAAATGTTTTTGTGCTGTAAAAGTTAATGCAAACCAGTCAAGCTGATAAAATCTGGAGTTATCATCACAGATAGAAAGAATTTGTAGTGGTGGGAATCTGTGGTAAAGAGTAGAATTTAAATTCTAGGGGGTTTCCCTTTGGCTTATCAATTTGTTGTTGTTCACAGCTACTATGGAATGGCTGGGAAAAAAATATTTTTCAGTAAAGCAGAACACAGCCTATTAAATGTAGATCAAAAAGAAATATCCACAGAGCAAAAGTAGAAAGAAGTGAAATCTGGTGATAGAAAGACCAAGTCAGCACACTTTGGTTAAAAAAAAACCTTCCTGCTTTTTGCAGCTGAATGTAGTAGAGTAGAGGCAGAAAGAAAAGATCAAAGCTAGATCTAATAGTACAGAAGAATAAAAGTCAGAGGGAGTGATGTGAATAAGAGTGATCCTAGTAGGTATTTGGTGAAAGACACCATATGCGTCAAAGTATAAAGAAAAGGGAAGACATGTTACATATGAGAAAAATGCAGCTTTCAGTATTACCTTTGCACATATCCCAATTTTATTAAAAGATTATGTGGATGGGAAAAAAAAGAATGGGCATGAAGCTAATATTATAATAATTCCATTAATGGTTGAACTTCATTAAAGGATTTAGATTACAATTTGAAGTACTTTGCCAACCATTAGACTTAAAAAAAAACTTTTTTCAAAGCAAAAAAGGGAAGAAACACAAAGAAGCTCATTAGCTTTAAAAAATGAGAGCTAAAGCATAATGATCAGTTCAGACTTTTTTCTACAGAAAGAATTTGAGACAACAGAGCTAAAGAGAAAGTGGGAGGATGTATATAACCATTTTTAGTCTGGGCAAACTTATGATGAAAGTCCTCCGCTAGTGTTATTAATAATAGAACAGGTGGCATTCTTTGCAGATGTTAGACATCATTAAACTATTTTATGCAAATTGCAGATAATTTAAACATTAAATTAAAAGACGAATTAAAAGTGGCTGAACTCTTATGGAATCTTGGCAATCACTGAGGTCTCAGATGATCTCCCATAAATTTTGTAACATTTCATGGCATTTATTATTTTTATTTATTTATTTATTTATTTATCTTTGCAGTCTTATGGAATCTTGGCAATCACTGAGGTCTCAGATGATCTCCCATAAATTTTGTAACATTTCATGGCATTTATTATTTTTATTTATTTATTTATTTATTTATCTTTGCAGTTTCATGGGCATTACTTAGCGATGGCATGGGTGCTATGTTTCCACCCAGAGCTATGCAAAGGTTTGTTGCAGGAAACTGATTTGACAAGGCTTTGGCAGTTTGATTTGTCAAATCAGATCAGTTGATCCAATCACTTGGATAACAGAAAAGGTTCACTATGCATGAACAGAAAACTGATTTTCTGAATCAGATTGGAACAGAACTGTTTCTATCAGCAGAATACAGAAAAGGGAGTTCCTATCCTACAGCAAATGATTTTAGGTTCTGCACCAAGCAATTGGTGGATTCTGAGAATTCTGGTAATTTGTGGAAGGTATCAAGAAGGAGAAGGTCCCATTGGCATGACAAAAACCTGTTTTTTCAAATTGGATTTTACCCATAGTATTAGCTCCATATTAAATTAGTTCTATATAATCTTGATAATATAATGACTTGTTCAGTTGATTTCAATGGACATTAAATATGGCAATGGATGCAGTCTTAAACTAGGAAGTAAGTTCTAGTGGATTACATAGAGCAGACATGGATAAAATTATGTTGTTATTTAATCAAGATCCAATCTATAATATTTTCAATGTTAGTTATCCTTCCACAATTACATTTCATTTTATTTTTGTAGTAGATATACCAAACGCTAATGTATACAGTAAATATAAATACACATTAAGCAGAAATAATACACTGAAAGAAAAGTATCAACTAAATTCAGATTTAGAGAACAGCCTTCCTGAAACTAAATCAGTTGAACCTCAGCAATACAAGCTCACATCTTTCTTTGTTAATTTATCCAGTGATGTTGAAATAAGTGCACCCATCTTGCCCTGAATTAAAACCATAGTAAATTCTTTTCTGTTCCAACTTCCTGCTGATTTGCTGAGGGTAAGATCACTGGAGATCATTTAATCTGAAGAGGAAAATCCTCTTAGCTATTTTCCAAAAGACTTGCTGAGTGGGCTAAGTGGAACTATTCATGGTGGAAGAAACAGGAGGGAAAGAAAATGTAATAGTCATACTTTTTCCCAAGCAAAGACTTGACAGAGAAACATGTTTTTAAAAAACTCTAATACCTAAGAAGCTTTTTAAGGCTGTTCTCAAGAATCCTGGTAATTTCAACAGAGTATTTGAAAGAAAGACAAGGATCCTGCAATAAAATATATATTTTACAGTAATTTTCCTGTACTAGATAAAGCTGGATAAAGCATTGCTCACCCTAAGTTATAGTCTGGGGTTCAACTCCTGTCAGAAGTAAAACTTCTGCTGTGATTAAATTATCTCATGCTTTCAACCTCATGAGTTCTATTCTCACCTTGTTCCTTCTTCTAATTTTCTTTAAAATGTCACCGAAATCTATATGACAACTGGTTTTTGCCCTAGTTCCCCTAACAAGTATAGACATTTCATATTTTTCTTTCAAATACTTCTTCACATCAGACTCTCTCCAGGATTAGAAAGGCCCAGGCCATTTCCAGCTGTTGAGGGCCCGCCATAATAAAAACTAAAATGAAAACATGTAAAAACAAAATAAGGCACACATGCATACCACCTTGAGTGAAATTTAGTTTAAATCTTTTTTTAAAAAATAAACTATTTGCAAGTATTGAAATGTGTGGACTCCTTGAACTCAGGTTTAGGCCAAATGGCCCTCCCTGTGTCTTGTCCAGTACAGAATGCATCTCCACTAGTCTCAAGAAGAGGCAGGTTTTCCTGGCCTAAATCAGCTTTCCTTAACCTGGTGCCTTCCAGATAAGCTGAGTTTCCAACATCTGTTGCTGGCTAGGGGGTTATGAGAATTCATTTGGGGGGTTCCAGGTTGGGAAAGGCTGACCTGATCATCATGGCCTATCTAGTTTCCCCCTGTTTTTGCAGTATATGCTTTGGCTCTGATCAGCATCGTGTCTTTGCTTTCTTTCTTACACCTAAGAATGCAATACACCTAATTATACTGCCTCTGTTCTCTATAATTTATGTTTCCTCAAGAGCCCATTTCTCATTTTGTGTGATATTCTCCCTTCTGTCTCTCACACTCTTTTATGATGCTGTTGTGTATGGTCTCATTAGGTTATCGGTATAATTTGGATCAGAGGCTCCTTAGAGTAGAAACCTTGTGTTTGGCCTAATACATAATACTTCATCATGCTGTTAGATGGGTCTTCTGGGACTGTATTAAACAGGAGTGGCAGATTATTAAGGAAAAGCATCTGGCAGTTTGTGACACCTGGGGTCTGTTTTGCTGCGGCATCAACAAAGTACAATAAAGTATTATTCATCAGATTAAAAAAATTTTAATGCAAGACTAGCTGTGCCATCAACATTTGAAGCTTTATTCAGACAACCTCCTCTATGCATTCAAAGGGTACTGGTGGGGGAGGGGCTCTGTGTTAACATGGGCTAACATTGGCCTCACTGTTTTTGTAGTCAAGGCACACTTTGGGTAGCAAAATCACTACCCTTCCTTCCATGCATTTTACCAGCATGAAATGCAAAGGCCCTACATACTATGATATATAAATATAGAACTCTTTCATGCTATTGTTAGGATCGAATTTAGATAAGTTCTCCCTTATTTGTAGGTGCTCAGGGATACAATGGAGCCCTTTCCCAAGTCCAAAGGTTGGACAGTTTGTTGCCAAGGAAGAACAACTGTATGACTGCTGGAAGTGTAACTGGAAGACTGTTTAACCATACCTTCCCATGTGTTCTTTCAGCACTTCAATCATGTGAACCTCCCTGTAGCAGTAGAGTCTCAGCAGAGGAAGTGTAATGTCCATCAGGTTCCACTTGTATGTATCTACCACCCAGATTAATGTTATACAGAAAACAATCTTCTGCATTGCTCTAACAGTTGTCACTGAACTTGGTGAAAGATAATGTTCTTTCAAAATTTCTTTCAAGACAGGATGATTCCAGTGAAATTTTTATGGGACGATGAGTGATGTTTTTTGTCTTACTTAGGTTCAAAGTGGTGGAAGAATATATGTGTTTGCTCTTGTGCTATCATTTTGCCAGCAGTTTGCAGACTCCCTTGTTTCCCACACTTAAGTCCCAAGGAAAGAGATAATGATGAACTCCTCTATTGAGCTTTTTCACAATGGGTAGTGTGGGCAGCCAGGGAGTTTTAGAGTGCTGGAAATATGTGTTACAGAAAAACAATAAAACCAGCAGGTTGCAATCTTTAATAATAAAGTAAGTTGGAAACAATGTCAAGGGAGGTTCAGAAGAAATTCTCAGCAGGCTGAGAATAAGGTACAAAATTAGAAGTTTCTTTAGCAGGAGAAAACTTTGAGAAATTCCAAGATACATTTCAGCACAGCATTAGTACAAATACTTGATTTATTGCTCAAAAGTTTGTACTTATTTTTCCTACTTCCTTCATCCAAATGAGAAAGCTCATAGTTGCCATGATATTGTTGTGAATTGTTGCAACTAATTGTCTCATCCAATGTAATAACTCATCATTTACTTGTGTTATGAGTTCAAAAAGTGTAGAATCAAAAAAAAAGCCAACATATAGCAAGTCAATATGTAACTAAGATAGGTTTTCTAAACTGAGATTTTTTTTGCAACGGTGGTTGCAGGAAATGTGGTGGTGACATGATGATGTCACAAGAGGAGGTAGGGTAGCTTTTTCCACTTCAGATTTTTAAAAAGCTAATAAAGTTTAGAGAGGTTTAGGGTGGCTTTTTGAAAGTAAAAAGATGTGCTATTCCTATCAGAGGCTTAATGCACCTGTTCTACTTTGTCTTAAAAAAAAAAAAAATCAACACACACATGCTGGGTATTTGCAATGTTTTGTTACCAAATATTGGCAGCATGACCTTAAGGGATTCTGGGCCTGAAAAGAAACTGAGGGCTACATATCACCCACAGGCTGCAAGTTGCCCATCCCTCTCCAGCTTGTGGTCTGAGGGCATCTGAATTAATCATCTTGCAGAATTTCAACAGTTTGGCTTTAGATAGGAATTTAGGATCTGTAGCCACTTGGGCTCAGATAGTCATAAAACTCAGATTAATAAGAATAGATGCCTCCATCATGTATGCTACTTTGATATCTATGTTAATATTTCATGGATTTGTTTTTTGCTTATGATGAAAAATATCATATATATTCATACAAACCAACCTTTCCCAACCTGATTCTTTTCTGAGATGTTGGACATTTTCAACTAGTGTGGCCATCTGGAGGGTATCTGGTTGGGGGAGAAGGGGAAGGGGAAGAGGAAGAAGACAAAAAATGTTTGACAGATAATAACCCTTGTGGCAGAAGATTCCACTGCAGAAGCGTCTTTCTGAATGCAAGGGGGAAAGACCATGATCATAACCGATTATATTCATGTGTTACCTGCTGCTGTGACTCAGCTTACAGAATCTGAGGACAAAAGTAAAGGAAGGGCTATTAAGAGATTCATCCTGATGTAGCCATAAACTGCTAGGTGTTTCTCAGACATCTGCTGAGAATTTGAAGCCACAACTTCATACTCAGCTGAACAGAGGTACAACAGGAAGCCCCTGTCAGTTAGGAATAATTCTCCAGAAGCAGAAATAAACTTTCATTCCCTACAGATCCAGAACTCTCCTTCTCATTAAGTGCCATTGGGTTGCAGAGTATAGTCCTTTAATCTCTCAAATCATTTTTGTCTGCAGGCAGTGCTGCTCCCCACTTTCCTGAAAAGTATACATGATTAATTTTTTTTGGACAACAGAACTTTGGGAAACAAAGTGGTATCTATGCAACATTTGTTTTCTTTATAAACACAGAAGCATCTGCCTCCTATGGCTAAATTTGCAGGCCCGGGCCCTTTCCCCTGGTCTTTCTGAATGCAAACTGAAGGTTGCAAAAACCCTGCATTTCCCTCTTTCCCCTTGCTAAAGATTTTGTATTCCAAAGGCCAGGGGAAACAGAATTCAGGCTGCAAAGGGACATTTCGGCCTTGTTAAAATAAGTTTTGAGCATACTGTATTCCAGCTTCCTTAGACCATTTTTAATAATAATCACTAACAAAATTACACAAAGATATCCATTGAAAAACAGCACATCTCAAATCCACTGGTAATAAATGGTAAGTCTCTTTAAATAGTGTTGTTTTGTTGGGCAGGAACTATACTCTGTGCACTGGACATGCCACTCCTGATATATAGTTACACTATGTTGGGAGATAAAAATCATACTGTTAAAAGTTTTTGATTTTTAAAATGTTTGAGGATGTATTTGCAGGATTGCAAAAATTATAGCTAAGGTAGCTGCTTCATAAAGTGTATTTCATACAATAACAGAGGTATCTATATGATGAAATCCATTTTTATTTAGCTCTTCTGATTTAGATTTAGATTTAGATATACACATGTATATATAAATTTCAATATTCCCACTGATTTAGACCTGTCTGGTTTCAGAAGCTTTTCCAAGACACACATTATTTATGGTCCTATGCTTCTGAAAATGGAAGGCAAGCAGGTATATGCAGAAACTCAATTATCAGGTAACCATAATACTGCAAATTTAACACATGAAAAGGCTACCTAAGTCAAGGGAAAGTGTGAAAAACTGAACTTGAGAGGATTGGATTGACTTTGCCATTTCTTTGATAGATCTCCATCCCCCACCTTGTTCTCTACAGATTTCAAAGACGCTTTCAGATCCTTTTCAGTGGTCTCCTACCATGGTAGATTACATGGCCAGGCCTGCTTGTCTTCAATGTAGAGTGCCTTTCTGGGCCTTCAAAAAATATTATTTGGGAGTAATTTTGCTTGTAATTTCTTTGACTTGCAGTAGATGGCAGTGAATGAACACAAAAGGCCAACTATTGCTATGGGCTGAAAAATAAAAGAGTCAGTTTGAAATATGGAACACATTTGGAGCAGAATAATCATACTTGGGTCTGACAGGATAAAAGGATGAATAGATAGGCTAATAAAACATATGAAATTACCAAACTAGACAGCAATGACCATATGAGCAAATAAACTAAGTATGTTTTCATGACAATGATTACAGTCATAAAGAACAATATTCAGGAAGTTACAAAGCTCTCTCTTTTATTATTAGAGTAATGGGTAAATAGACATCAGGTTGGAGCTAGAAACAAAATGGTAGCTTGAACTCTGCAAGATTTGCCTGTGAGTAAATGTTTATACATGTCTACTCAAAATAATGTCCCATTTTCAACAGGAGCTTGCTTTCAAGCAAGAGGAGAATAGGACTACAGCCTTAATCGAGTTGGACTGATTTCTGAGGACCAAGTGACAGACAGTGATTTAATTAATTACAAAATGGCAACTTTAGATTCTAGTGCTAGTTTTCTGATATATCTCCAACAACCATACACCAGGATTTATATGTGAGCTATTATAGATCAAGATCGGATATCAGCTTATTAAAACACAAGTCACTTCCACTATTTCTAACCCTCCCCCCCCCCCCCCCC